ATTTTAACTAAAAAACATTACATTGTTGTGGCACATTAGTGACGCATTGGATATAACTATCTAAAGGTGGCATTAGAAATTAATAAATTGTTAAATTGTTTACAAATTTTCCAAATACATGTCTTTCTTCATTAAATTACACTTTACTACATGTTCAGTGTTTTTGTCTACTAGGTGGTGCTATGACAGATATTCTTCTTATAAAATGACAGGCCAGTTTTATTTACTGTAAACTGTACAACCCCCAGGTTCTAATTCAGGTTCAGGTTTTGGTTTGCATGCAGCTCTGCCTGAACAGTGTTCATCTGTTCAAGCTTTCTATATGACTCAGTTTCTGTTTCCATTGAGGAGAAATCTGATCACCTACTTGACCATTCCGGTAATTTCCCTTGGCCCATTGGACCAATGATATAGCTTTAACATTCACAAAAGGTCTAACAATGCAGTTTACTTTGACTTTATACAAGAGATTAAACAAATCATGTCGAAGATAAGCCTGGGTGTTATACATGTTTTAGTAATGATCAAATAAATAATTGAAATAAATCCATTAACAGTAGGATTTAATCAGGATATCCAATAAAACTGATGAGAAACATACACACAAGGTTCTGTATTTTTCACACAAAGTTACCAATACACCCCCTGTAGTTCAGGTATTATTCACAGCTCTTGGACGTGCTATAACTGTGTAGGACTTGACCTTGAGCACAACACTAGCAACTCCTCTCAGGTCGGGCAGAGAGGCCTCGCTCTCAGGAGGGATGAACTGGAAATCTCTCAACAAGTAGGCAGTGAACAGAAAGAGCTCCATTTTGGCAACAGACTCCCCCAGGCAGAGCCGGGCCCCCCCTCCGAAAGGGATGAGGGCACGGGTGGAGCCTCCTCCTCCTTCCAGAAAGCGCTCTGAAGGAGTGAGAGAGAGAGAGAGAGAGAAAGAGAGAGCAGCTTTTATTTTAGATCTTAGTCAAGTGAAAGGAATGCACTCACCCACCTCACAGTCAGAGGGCAGTACCTGGTTTGAAGCTGTATGGGTCAGTCCAAACTGCTGGATCATGGTGAGCTCCAAACAGATTAGGAATGATGACTGTGTTCTTAGGGATGAAGTGACCTGCAATACTAAACATTTGCCATGATGCAAAGTAAAACGAGTGTTAGCAGGTAATATGTTGTGAAAAACCATGAGTTTACACCCATACAATTGGACTTTGTGAAAACCTGCTCGCTGACAGACTTGATCCCAGCAGAAGGTATATCAATATAGCTTTTTTATACTTTATACATATAACCATATATAGTATTTTCTTACTGATCTGGACCTAAATGCTAATAAAAAAAAATACACAAATGTGGTGCTGTTTAGTTTATGTATTCATTTCTTAAGTTGTTGGTTTGCACAGGCTCTTCATGAGGAGCAACAGTTCAACCTGGGTCCCATGCTAGCTGTTTACTTTGTTTTCCCTTTCAGTCTTGGCATAATTGCCTTTCACATGAATGATTTTTCAAAGCAATTCAATTTATTTCAAGCAATCCTTGCATTACAGCCATGTTGGAGTTGCGAAATGTTTAATAATATTTTAATATAATAGTTTTAATAATATTTCACAACCCATCATACTTCCAGGCTTGGTATTGGACCAAGGACTAAACACTATCACTGACTGAAATATTCTAGAGTACCAACCTGTACCTGTGCCTGCTTAATAATGTCTGATCTTATAGACAAACGATCTCAGTGGTAAGTAATCGCTAATCTCCTTGTTCCCTTTCTTTCATTATCACCGCATATTATCGTTCAGCTGACCTGCTGTCTCTGATGGCCCTGTGTGGCACCGCCAGTGGGGCAACTGGCCTGAGTCTGAGTACCTCATGGATCAAAGAGCACAGGACAGGAAGTCTGTGTCTGTCACTGTACTTGGGGTACCGTCCCTCGAGCACTGTGCACAACTCCTCATACACCTTGGTCTGCACCTGAAGATTAACATGAGAGAGGAGAGAGACATTGAGATAGACTTCAGGGTGTGTAAATACTGTGTGTTATGGAAAATGGTGTGCCCTGCCTCTGGTCTGTGCAATAGGAAGGCCACAGTCCAGTTCAGCCAGGCTGCAGTGGTCTCTGTCCCCCCGATGAGAAGGTCCACAGTGGCCATGTGAACATGAATATCTGTCAGGAGCTGGAGACATTAAGACATGTGATTTCCAATTCCAGCTCTAGTCTTAAATGAAATTAGCTCTATCAATTTCATTATACAAATTTTAGGGAGTTTATTCATCCATTTATTAAAGAAAAAACAAGCTGTTAAAATAAAGAGGTGGTAATATAAAAACACCTACAATTCAAACTAATCCTCCTCCTCTGTATTCACTGTTCTATGTACTTACCCCTCCATCTTCTGTGTTGCGATGTTTGTCAAGGCCCTGGAGAAGGGATCCTGTGATAGCGTCCTCATTTTTTTTGTCTTGTGACTGCACAGATAACAAAGCAACAGCTGATTAAAGTTAACAGAGGCTTTAGTAGATGCCATGTCTCATTTTATCTTAGTATTTGCTTGATTTAACTGAATTTATCTCACAAATGTTATCTAATCATGAAGCCTATAATTCTTTTAATTTATAATCTGAACAATTTAGCATAATTAGACCAGTGACATATTTGACACAAAATTTAAATTCTTTTGGCATTAGTTTTTTTTTTTTTACTAACCTTGTAATTGTTAAGATGTTTACTTATAATTTCATCTCTCCTGGCCACCTCTTTCAGGAGACGGGAAAACACAGGATTGGGTAATTTCTTTGAGAAAACAAATTACATAATTTGTGAAATCCCATTCAGAAGATGCTTTCCTGTGACCTACACTCTAGATAGTGAATATTTACTCACTCTGAGCAGTGGAAAGGAGTCCAGAACAGAAATCCAAGAGGAGCCCCACAGAGCAACAATCTCATTGAGACAGCTGTGCAGCTGCTGCAGCTCCAAAGACCTCTTATCGTACTAGAAAACAGAGACCAGTTATTTTAATACATTCTAGCCCTGAAATACACTCTCCTGCAACAGAAAATCGCATTATGAATGCATTTATGTAATGCAAGCTTCTAAAAATTGCAACCAGGCAACCAAGCATTGGTCTGCCACAACCACAACTGTGAGTGAAAAACAGATTTTGCAATCCATCTCCAATACTCAGAGTTACAAACTGAGCAGTGGGAGGGACAAATACTCACTTCCTTTCCAAAAGCCAAAGTGGTGATGACATTACTGGCTGCCACAGTGAAATCCTCTGAGAGATCTACAGCACTGCCTTCATAGTCCATCAACACCTAAACAGCGAACAAACAATGCTTATGTGACCACTTTGGAAATACCCCAACATTTGGTTTGCTGTCTGAATCTCTGCTATCAGATTACAGGCTATTATGTTGCTTAGATACGGCATTATATTGTCCTCTGGTGTGCAGTTTTTTTCCTCTTGTGTTTTCCGCACCTTTCTCAGATGCAGTGCTTGTCTCTCAATCACATCATGCAATGACTGCTGGCAGCAACGCTGCAAAGCACTGTGAACAAGACGACGGTGCGCCCTCCACTCATCATTGTAGTCCCCCAGAGAGATGGTGCGCCCTCCCCCAGACACAATATCACCTGATATCAGTCAGGAGAGGTCATAAGGAAATACAATAATACAATACTTATGTATGCTATCATTGCAAAAGATGTTTGAGTTATTTACCTGTGTATGAAAGGGGTCTCCCAGCAAAGTCTGACCATTTTTTCACGAGTGCTTCTCTTATGATGTCACTACTATTTAGTACCACCATTGCTGAAAAAACACAACATGGTTGTTGGTGTGGCTAACCTTACTATCTACAAAAAATCTTTCAAAAAGTTGATTTGCTTGTTTTTATGTCAGCATGTGATATAATAAAATTGTGTATGATTACTTGTGTTTCCGCATTTAAGGCGGTAGATGTTTCCATACCGCTGTGCCAGATTGGTGAGGTGAATTGGCAGATGATCGTGTGTCAGCTCCATCATATTACCGATGAGGAAGAGGCTGGGAGGACCTGGGAGGGAAGGAGACGAGGAGCAGGGAAGGAACTGATAGAAATACTGCAGCAGTCTAGATTTGGCTACTGGATGGAAGAAAGACAAAGGTAAAACAGAGATGACAGTCATCAAAATCCATTAGAAGTAATCAAGTTAAGTTGTGTACTAGTTGGCCATGTGTTTAAAAAAATGTCCCATTCATTAATCATTTTTATTTTCATAAAATTACAATACTTGATTGTACAACCAGCATGGTTAAAACACGTACCTGTAGGCTTACTTCCATTGTGGTCTTCCTGTACACATTTGTCTCTCTGACCAGAAGTGCAAATCAGTAACATTAATAGCAGCACAACTAAGAACACAGCTCCAACACTGATCACTGATATTTCTATTGCCATGTCTTCTTGCTGGTGTCCCACTTAAGAGAGCTGGTCAGCACACTGCTTGCCACATTTATAGTCTCCTCATTAGTCTCTAAGCACGTCAGTCAGTTTGTGTTTGTTTGTGTTTTCCCTAAAATCAAGGGCGTCTAAATATCTATTTAGGTCAACATATCGGATAGTAAGATGAATGCAACACATGTAACAAGAGACAGCTTGATAAACATGGCCCGGGACTTGCTGAAGGGCATGATAACACTTTTTCTTTATCTTGTGAGTGTAGGGATGAAAAACTGCTTTCCGTCAGAGGATTTGGGTGTTTTAATTTACAAAGAAAACAACAACACTTCAAACCCACATTAGCCACATTTATTCCAATGGAGTGAGACAGTGCATATTTAATTACAGTAGTAGTGGGTTGGCATACCGTGGTGGTGCACAAGAAGGTACTAGAGTTAAAACAAAACGGTTGAAATGGAAGGGTCAGGTAGAACAGTACAACAATATACAAAAAGTTGAAATAAAACATTTCTCCACTCTTTTGGTATATTTCCAGAAAAACAGATCAGAAAAAAATTCTTGCACATTGAATCAAATGCACTGATAGCTGTCATTTTAGCTATCAAAACCACTGTACATGTAATTTTAGCTTGCGAAGTGACATGCAGCAACTGTGAGATCCACTGTCTTCTGGATTTGTGGAGCCATAATGTAATTCTCTGTCAGATGTAAGGTTTTTAGGTTAGAGAACCCAGGAACACTGATTTAGCCATGAGTGGCAGGAGAGAACCTGGACGGTCTGAACTTCATCTCAGTGAAGGGAATGGAGGCGTCTTTACCTTTCCAGTCTATCCAGACTATTCCCTGTATCACAACAGACACGGAAAAGAAGAAACACATTTTGTTAGTGTGCTGTATCATAGAATATTAAAAAAGTTCATTGATCCAGGTAGAGAGGTAAAATGTACCTGATTATTACTGTTGATGCCAAAAAGACCATTGAGGTTGGTCTTGTAGCAGTTCTTGTACCACCATCCTCCCATGTAGGCCCTGGCACAGTGGATCCCCAGAGGATCAGTGTCCTTGTCTCGGGTTGAGAATGGGCGCCCATTATGATACCTCATAGAGTCACCTGAAAGAGAAATCCAGGGACATTAAGGTATAAATTGTATAATATAGTGTGTGCTGCACCTGTCCAGGAAAATTCTACTTTTATTCAGTTTTCACCTGCAGTTCCAGTGTAGCCAGACACTGTAAGAGCATAGTGCCTCTCCACTGAATCAATGGAGAAGTTGGCGTAGTGGGCGTAAGCGGTTTCATTTCCAGATCTCATATCCACTCTCAAACTCACAGGGCCGACACTGGTCAGGTTGTGAAGAAGCTCATTTCCTAATAGTGGCAGAAATGAAGAATGAACAATTTATTTAAAAATATATTCTGATGCAAATGTGACCATAAGAACTTTTTTCAATTGTACCGAGCCAGAACTCTTCGCTGAGGTTTCCGAAACCAGCGGTGTATTCACTCCAGGTTCTGTAGAAATCCGTCTTTCCATTCATCCTCCTCTGGAACACCTAAAACACACATCAGATTGTTGTAAATTTCTAAATCCATTCGGCAACTTCTTCAGTGCAAAGTTTGGTTCAGATCAGGGCAGTTTGTCTCACCGTCCAGCCACCTCCATCAGTCTCCATGTCACAGTAGACTCTGACCGCCTGTCCCTCTCTACCTTGCGGGAAGATATCCACCTCTCCTGACTGCAGAGCTCCGTTCAGCAGCTCCTGAGAGCACTCAGTAGGGAAAGGGAAGCGCAGTTTGCCTGAGGGATGAAATGACATGATAATGATTATGATAAAGTATTGATAGCAGAGATAAATTAGCAGGAACTGCATTATGTAGATTATAATACCTGTGATGAATTCTGTGGTAATAAGAGATGTGTAGTGTCCATCTCTCTCTCCTTGTACCAACACAATATAGCGTGACATTGACAACAGTCCTGTCAGTTTATACTCTGTGACTGACGAATCCAGGATTACCTCCTAATGTATACACAGAAAAGCACACAAAGCTAATTAGTTAGTTTGGCAATTCTGCAAATGTAGGGGCTGTCTTTGCGTTGTATGTGCAAATGACAAGCGAATATAAGTCACCTTTGCCTCCTCTCCTGCCACCTGGTAGATCAGTCTGTAGCTGTGATAAACAACAGTGGAAGTTTTCCATGCTATCACTGCAGAACGAGCCCCCACCTCACTGGCTTTAACCACTGAAAGAGGCAAAAATGCACAAGCATTTATTTCACACCACACAAACTCTGTAGACGTCAGCAAGTAAAAAAAAGTCTGATCTCCCTTTATTTATTTCGCTCTCTACTCACCATTAGCGGTAGTGAATGTAGTTGAGATGGCCATACTCTGGAGACTGTCCTTCTGGCTCAGGACTTTAACTGTGTACAAGGTGCCTCTCTGCAGGCCCCTCAGCTGGTGTTCCACTGAGTTTCCAGACAGCATCACTGTCACTGTCACATTAGGAGCTGTAGAAAGAAGGAAAATTAATAATATTTAGCTTAGTCATTAGCGCCTTGTCATTAGTCATTAGGTCGATGTTGGCCACACTCACTCTTGGAGGACTCATAGCTGATAATGAAGCGGTCTACTTTTCCCAGACTGGGTGTCCATTGCAGCACAGCTCTGGTATCTGTCACATTGACAACTTGCAGATGTGTTGGAGGGGCAGGCACTGCAGGCAACACACAATCCATATTGTGTTTATTGCTGTTTTCACATTCTAAGATAAAAATATAACATTAAGCTTATCTGACTTTATACCCGTGGTGATAATGGATGTGAGGGCGTCACTCTGGGTTCTGCCTTGTGTAGCAGTTACAGTGACAATGTAGGAGGATCCAGCTGACAACTTGGACAGAATCACATAAGATTGCTGAGAGTCCACGGTCACAAAGCGGTTCTCCCCTAGCAGGATGACAGATCACAAATATTACACTGACTGATATTAAAAGGGGATTTTGACCTGAGATGCAGTATGCAAAGCCTTCGACAGACCTGTGATAATGTTGGTATATGTGACCCTGAAGCCTGTGAATGTGGTCTTTGGTTTGGACCAGGAAACAGTGAAAGAAGACTCTGTTACATTGCTGAAAACCATCTCTGTGGCTGGCTCAGGACCTGGTGACAGAAGACATTTTTTAAATCCTTTTGAATGATCAACACACATCCATACTGTATTCATTGCTCCCAGCAGGGATTTAGCGTAAATAACAAATGTGGAGCAACTTTAATTACCTGTAGTTGCAGTTACTCTGTGAATCTTTGATCTTCTCTCAGCTGCAGCACCATAAATGTGCAGGACATAGCCTGTGTTTGCCCGAAGGTTACTGAACTCCATAGAGCGTACGCTGCCAGGGACTACCATGGAGATCCTCTTGGTTTCAGCTTTGCCTCTAGATGCTACAGCTTTACCAGAGGCGACAGTTGTGTTGGTGCTCTCGCTCTGTACCTGGACTACAGTTGTGTTCTTAGCTGTGGAGGTCTTGTCCCCTTCAAGAGCTTCCTCTTCGAACTCCTCGTGATCGTCTTCGTCACCCTCTGTCCGTGGTTCTCTTCTGATCACGGTGAAGTTCTTGAACATCCCTTGTGGAGCTGACCATGTGACAGTGAAGCTGTAGGAAGAGATGTTTACAACTTTTACAGAACCTAATCCAGACCCTCCCATCCTCTTTGCACTCCCAGAGCCATGGATAGTTGTTTTGTTCTGCAGAACTCGAGCCTCGCCTGACGTTGCTGCAATGGTTGCATTCACTAAATACTGACTCCTTTGTTTCTCTTTTCCAGTCTTTCCAGCTTCAGTGTTTCTGCTGTCAACAGATTGCACATTTGTATTGTCTACTTTGACCTTCTTGATTTGTTTCTGTCCAGATGACTGAGTAACGTTCTTCTCAGCCAGTGTGGACTGCTCAATGGTCTTTCCTGCTCTGGTTTTGTTAGTTCCCATGACCTTTGACAGAACTGTCACAATTTTAGCTGTGCTATTAGATTTATTCACGTTACTTTGGGTCACATTGGTTTGAGGTTCATCTTTTAGTTGGTCAGATTTGGGATATGTTTTACTGGCAATTGTTTCCTTAACAAGTTTGACATCATTTTTTTGGAGGACCTTTTTAGAGGTCATGACTGTTGTTTTGCCTTTTCGGGCCTCTTCTTGCTTTCTTCCCTCATGTTTCAACAGAACTTGAGCAACAGTTGGACGACTGATCTTTTTGCCGGTTGAAGAGTCTTTAACAGTTATTTTCTTAACAGAAGCTTCTTGTTTTGATTCTGTTTTAACAAGACCTGCTTTAGCATTAGTAGCCACTTTGGGTTTAGCGTCAGTCTCTTTGGCTTCGGACCCCTTCTTCTGCTCCTTTTTCTGGAAGAGTGTTTGCTCTATTTTGGTGGTTTTCTCCTGCACATTTTCCTTGTCTTTATTCACCTGCAGGGTCACTGTTTCCACTGTTACCTTGACCTTTCCCTTGGCAGCTTCTGAAATTGCAAAGTAGAGGTTATAATCAAAGTGTGAATGAGATATTAGTCAAAGTCGAAGTAAAAAATATCTTTCTCTCACTTTCTTATATAGTCTCTTATATTACCAGATGCAAATAACAGTGCAGACTCTCACTTACTTTTATTACACTCAGCTCCTTGTGCACACTTACTGCAGTCTGGACCCGTGAATCCCTCTTGGCAGATACATTTCCCCTTCTGACATTCCCCATTGCCACTACAGTCACTTGGACAATTTGCAGAACATGGACCTGGGCAACAAAAAAAATAAATCTACATTATAAAGTCCACATCTCTAATGAACTGTGTCAAATATAATAATCTGGTGAATATGAGAGAATCATACATTTCTCTTTTAGGGAGGACATCTCTCTTTCCAGTCGAGCCACACGTCCTTTCAGTGCAGCCATCTCAGACTCACATCCCCCAGTGCAGCTGCCGGGCAACAAGCTGATCTTGTGCGTCATCACAAGAGGAGCTCCAGGCTTCAGCTTCAGCTCCTGCTCCTTGGTGCTGCTTGAGTCACAGCCATCACTGATGACCACCTTGATTGGCTGCGTTGGGGCAGGCTTTTCTTTGGTGGTGGGAGCTTTGATTACAGTGGTCTGATTATCAGAGGGTGTGACCTTCTCTTTATCAGCTGCAGGACCACCATCTGTAGCGGCCTTTGCTGGTGTTGACAGAGCAGTTTGAACTACTGTGGGGGCAGCCTTGTCTTTGGAGTTCTTTACATCACTGGTGGAGGTAGATTTTGCTGCAACAGTCTGATTGACAGAAGCTGTGGGCTTGTTTTTGGTGGTTTTAGCGCCACTGGCAGGAGCAGACTTTGGGGATGTTGACTGAACATTTTGACCTACAGTGGGGGCAGGCTTGTCTTTGGCAGTCTTCCCATCACTGGTTGAAGGAGATTTCATTGAAATAGTCTGATTGACCGCAGGTTGGAGTTTGTCTTTGGTCGCTTTAGCTGAAGCAGACTTTGTGGAGGCTGACTGAACATTTGGAGCTCCAGTGGGGGCAGGCTTGTCTTTGGTAGACTTCGCTTCACTGGCTGAAGGGGATTTAGCTAAAACAGTTTGATTGACTGAGACTGTGTGCTTGTCTTTGTTGGGGATGGTGCCAGTGACTGTAGTAGTCTTTACTGCTGCTGACGGAGTGGTTTGAATTACTGCTGGGCCAGGCTTGCTTTTGGTGGTTGCTGGAGTGGGTAAAACTGTTTGATTGACTGTGTTTGGCTTTAGGGTTGGGCGAACGGTTTGTTTTGCTAGAGCAGCAGTGGTTTTTGGTTTTGACAGGGTGAAAACGGCATTAGGTTTGGTCATGTCGCTTCCTGTCGAGTTTCTCCTCTCATTGGTCGTGGATTGAAAGGACGGAAATGGGGTGAGAAGGAGGAGAAGTCCTAGAGTAAACAGCATTTTGAGCCAGGATCAGTAGCCAGAGATGGAATTGCCTTTGGTGGATCTGTATGTATGTTATTGTAAAATTATGAACTCCTTCCTCTATATTTCTGTGACCACTTGTAAAGGGGATTATGCCAGGTCTCTCCTGGAAATGAAAAAATGAAAGAGCTGAGTTATGACTGAGCTTAATGCATGAAATTTGATGGCAAATCATTTTAGAACTTTTTTTTAAGAGCTTTGCTGGGCAAACCTGCTCTTTTTCAGCCAGCTTCACATTCACAGAGTTCCCATTCACACGTTGATGCTCGCTTAAAACCTTCTACTGGCTATTAAGAAGCTTCATTTAGAGCAATTTCAGGTTTCATCACTTGCTCAAAAGTGACCTGACAGCAATGGCTAAAGAAAGGGACTGCAGTACTTACTTTTTCCTTTAATTTTGCTGACCTGTGATTCATAGCACAAGTTCTCTAAAAGTTCTATACTGTGATCTGACATTTATAACGATTAACTAAGCAAAATCCGTCACAGGAGATGGAAGCTATAAGAGCATATCAAAACATTTCTGACGTACTTGTGCAAGACATTGGAAACAAAACAGCATCATGAACAAAAATATCACTGAGCTGACATGCTAAAATTCTACAAGCTAAACAAAATCTTAATGAAAAAGGATATTATTAACATATTTTTAGACTGTACATACTGGTAAACTTTTAAAAGTAAAGAAAAACACAAATTGAAGAATTGCAGCAGTGTTCCAATTATCCATAATGGTTAATTCAATGGCTTGCCAAACCAAGTCAAGTCAAAATTGGCTGATTTTGAACAGGAAGGAAGAAGGTGACTTGAGCGGGAAGTCTCTGCTGGAGAGACCATGCAGAGAGGTAACAGAGCGTTACTGTATAGAACTGTGGGACACTGTACGTCTTTCACTATACAGAAGGTTACATAATCTGCTGCACCCACAACTCATAAAACCACTAAAATAAATATGTCAGGCCATGGCTTTAAATCTGTAGAAAATCCAATAAATCATGCAGTGTGTAAACACATTACTTTGCGACACAGCAAGCTGATTTTGTTACATCTGAGTGCATGAATTAATTGACTAATTGGCTGCAGTATTAACTGAATTAGCCCATATTTACTTTTAAAATATGTATATTTTACATATATATCATATATCATACAACTACATTTTTTATAGGATACAAAAATAGTAAATACATTTTAAGACAAATTAAGGTAAATTATAGTAGGTTAGGCCATGCTACATTATGTATGCACACTAAAAAATTACATATCATGTTCACCACTCACTGCAGCTAGTACAGTTTAACTGTTTATGGTCCATTTAGCAGCTAAAACACATATTATATTATACAACAACATGACCTTATCTCACAAATAATATGTGCAGCTATGCACTATAAATGCATTATGATATGAAGGAATATCAACAGACACCAACAACGATATTCATGCAAATTACTGATCATAGTTACTTAGAAAAAAATAAACTTACTAGAATAATGATTCTTTTTTATCTCTTTCTTTGTGTTGCTCCCTCCATCTGAAAAGCTCTTGTAGACTTGCTGGATATGATCTGGAAGGAAAGAGGTGAGAGAAAGGACCACCACTAGAAAGGAGGAGAGTGATAAAGTCCGCTGCTACTTAAGGACCCCCCTCCTCCTTTCTCCACGCCTAGTGGTCCCACTCTCTCAACCACTATGGAAAATATTTGTATTGGACAAAAAAGTGACATTTTTATACAGATGTGCATATCAAATATGATCAACTACTTGTTTGTATTCAGTTTTTTCTGTTATTTTATTTTTCTGTAATGTTTTGTAGTCTTCATTAATTGCCATAAATGCTTAAATGCATAAACCTTTTGTGTGTAATCTAATATCTAATGTGATCAAACTTTTTTTTTTAACATATTGAAACTGCACGTGTGCTCTGAGACTGTATGCAATACATGCTGGGACATTTTTCATGTTCTTACTGTAACACAAAAATAACCTGCATGTCAGCTTTGCATGGCTGATGACAGTTATCCCAGTGTCTGCTGTATGTACCTTGACTTATACCAGACTTTGCTAACACCTAGACACAGCTTCGATTGAATAAAGTCCCGGCCTGAGAATCATGATTCAGCTGGAATACATAGCATAACACTGCAGGTATTCAGTGCTGACTCTGGGGGACAGGAACCTCTCGCTATATGAATTGGCTGTTTGTTGGAAGTAATGAGATGTAACTACGTGGGAGTTATGTAAGTGACCAAATATCCACCAGATTTAAGCAATGCTCTGTGAAGGCTCTGAATCTCTGACCAAATGGCCACCCACCATCCCACCTTTTGTAAACCACATGAAGACAAGTATATCAAAGGTCTAGAGCAAACAGGGCGTATAAGTGACATTTTCCTAATTTTACAGGAGAGCAAAAACAAAAGTCTTTATCAGTGTACCTTTATATACAGATAATGTAAGATACACTTACATCGATTCATTATTTTATTATTTTTGTTGTTCCTGTAAAGTCATACTACAACAGATTGCAAGTCATGGTTAATCTTCATTTATGTTTATCTTAAATTCAGCTGTAATACATCCTCCAGAGCTGTTTAAAAAGTTCCTCTGGTTACAGACAAAAACAGTTATAGGTCACATGTGTCTTGACTCACCTCATGTGTTTAATGTATAGTACTGTAGCTCCATTTTTTAAACTGTGTTGTCGAATCTATACATGATAAAAATAAATTTTTGCCATCGTATTATTTAGTTACTAAGACATTGCAAAAATATTTTTTTGGCACAACAGCTGTGAATCTGTGGTCAAGGCTGAAGAAACGGCTCTCTCATATTCTATTATTGTTACTCACTCTATATATGTTGGTGTGTATGTAAGAACCCACGCAGTAAAAACATATATTTACCGGCAGATATTTTAGTTGCAAATGCTTTTAGCTAACATGTTTTTCTTGGCAAGTACAGCATGTTCTGATACTGAAAGACAACCAACCTATGGTACATGCAGTATTACAATGTAGTACTGAATAAATTGGGAAATAATGTAGTTATTATGGTTATTCCAGGTTTGTGGAAATGGTAAACGAGCAGCTGATGCTGCACAGTGAGCCAGTCAGACTGAACAGTAGATGTAGATGTTAATGCAGGGGACTTGTGTATGAATATTCTCACTCACATAACATAACACCTCTTTACAAGATGAGTAACCTTACATGCACACACACTGATTCCTTTATCATGACATGCAGTCTGTCTTTTCATAACTTTGAATTTGGAATGAAAGAAATAAATTTGTAATTCAGGGGAAAATATGCCAAATCCTGTTGAAATGACCCTTTATTAACACCAGGTGATTGCTCCTTGTCATAGTAGGAAAAACACAAGTGTTACTAGTTACATTAACAATGGCTCAGCTCTTTTCAAGTGTCCCAGTAAGCCTGACGTGTGTCAGGGAGCCAACGTGCACAATAATAGGACCCTGAAACTGAAGCAACTATATGGAATTCAGCCATTATTAATTGGATTATTTACACCTGTGCTTTTCCTACTGTGACATGTCAAAATATCTTCTGTAAAATTATTAACAGACCAAGTCACCTTGATACTAAAAACAAAGAGGAATTGTCAGTGTAGTGTGGATTCCTGAGTGGGTGGTCCCTCTCCATCAGTACCTCCATCTGCTGGCAGCCTCCAGGAGCAGCTCCGCCTTCACTTTTCTCCTTTCTGCACCATAGACCACCCTCAAACCGCTGACCCTGTGTTGGCCTTTGGAAAAATGGCTGGAGACACACCTTTAGCAACTGAAGCTACTGCACACCTAACAAAATACACCTGGTCTTACAAGCACATTTCACAATTCCCCTGCCAGAGCTCACAGTTGATGCTGAAGCATATTTGGTGCATTGGAGGAGGTGAGCATGTACTCATGGAATTATGTGTTTTATAGTAGAAAATCTCTTGTGGAAATCCACAGATCTGACAAAATATGAATCATCATCCACTCATCACCATCAATCTATCTTTTTTGAGAGAATATTTGTGTTTTATTGTGTTGCCCAGCCTGAGCAGCAACTAATCTACTACTACTACTACTACTACTACTACTGTGATTACTTGTGACTGAGTCAAAAGCACTAGTCGACATTGCTTGGTCATGACAAGCCATTGATTACCTTGAGAAGGCTACAGTAAAATGAAGACTTTTTCAACTGTGATGTTGCTGTTGGCTACTGACGGTGCACTCAAGTAATCCCAAGATGAAAATGTGTGATGCTGAAGTCTGCGTATTTGTTTACCCTTTATTGATTCAAATTTAATGAAATGTCTAATGGCACAGGCTGAAACAGTGCAGGCATTTATCTGGCTGTGATTGAAGTGATGGTCAGTACTCCCATGTTGCTTACATTGGACCTGGCCTCAGAGATTAGAATAATATAAGCGCATAAGCCCTTGCTTGTTCCTCGCCTCTCCACCCATGCCCCCCCACTCCTACTCCTGGTGCACTGCTTCTCCCACTGCCCCTTGCTTTCTCCCAGTACCTCTCTCTGCATCACCTACAACTCAACATGTTTTTTTGAAATATAATTGCACTGAGTATCTTCTGCAGCACGTTTCTAGGTGGAGCACATTTGAGAAGAAGACTATTAGCTCTCTAAAACTAATAAGGAACTATTATCCTTATGAGGTGATGACAGATCCAAATCCTGTCACTGTGTACCTCCACTGTCTAACGTGCAGACTGATATGCCATTTCATGTGTATGCACTGTGCTAACCCGAAATCACTCCCCCTCTCCCCTCTTCCTCACCTTGCAGATGTTAAGTAAGGAGGGGGATAACGTTGAGGGGGGTGGCGTTGAGTACAGAGCCCCCTCTCAGATCCTTTACTGCCAGTAAAAGAAAAAAAAAAAAAACGCACAAAAATAAATATATTCAGCAGGGAAGCTAAATCAAACCATTACACTGAATCACACTATTTGGAAATACACGAAAGAGCCAAAGTTTGATTTTGGATGCACTCTTTGTTTTCTCTGCTATGTTTAGTTCGATTTCAAATAATTATCTTAAAATGTATGTGTCAGTGCTCCAAACAGTTATATACATACAAAGACATTTGCCAGACACCATTATCAGGTGTTTTTTTTATTATATACACTGGTTACATTGCAAGGAATAAAGTTTCAAATGACTTTTTATATGCTTTATGCTGTCATGACTAAACAGTAAAAATAAGAGAGCTTTCAACACTGTGAGATGATGACTGTGCATCTCATTGGAAACTACAATAACTGAGCTGCACTAAACTGACAATAAAAGTTAAATGAAACAGATTCCTGTTTCACTGTCTGCAGCCATCAATCTTGTACTCGTCTGTAAATGAAAAAAAACCGTTACAGGCTTGTTTTTGTAAAGTTTTTTTACATTCTTTTTCTGAAGGCATTCTTTCAACCCAGGTGTTCGATTCCAACAAATACTGCATCCTGCAAAAAGAGGGAGAGAGTGAACACAAGGAGAATAAATTAGAGTAAAATTATACTTCTGTTATTGACTATACTTACATTCCATTTGAGTCCGTTGTTGATCCGTCTTTGCCCATGATGAGATACTGTTTTCCCAAGTCCAGCTGTCCTTTACACTGACGTCTCTTAGCAAACACTCGAACAGAATCCTCACCCACAAGGAAATCTCCATCTGACAGATGATTGTGATTGTGTTATATTTATAATAACTCTAAACTATTTAAGGTCAGTGTTAAAATGCCTGCTTAGGCTTGTGGTTAAAGTTTACTTACTTGATCTGAGTACGTCCTTTACATTCATTTTGTACAGCTCAAAGTTGCTCTTCGTAGAAACACTGACAACTTCAACAAGGTATGCTGAAATGAAAACAAAAACATTTATCAACAACCATTAGTCTGAACCTTTATATTACATCACTGTAGTATACTATCACAATATAAAAGAATGGATTCTCTATAGTCAAGTTGTTATTAGATACTTTACACTATAATGTCTTGTGTGCAGTACTGACCGTAATCTACTGTAGGGAAGAAGCAAGCATGTTGTAAAGAGAAGCAAGCATGTTGTAAACGGACACTCTTTGTGATACTTTGAGGTCGTGTTTGGAATGTATCTTGTATTTTATGACAGGGTCCTAAAGAAAAGAGGAACATAATGCAATGTTAGTCATTTACATAAATCTGAATGGCAAAGCTACATTTATTCTCAGGTGTTTGGCAATATGGGTCTTAAGAGTAGTGGCCTACTTTCTGCACATTGGCACACATCCTCTGAACACAGTTTGGAGACCATCTTGCTTCTTTGAGGGGCGGAGTAGAACACAGTGCACTTTATGCCTGCAAGGAAGGAACAAATAGTTCATAAATTCCTGATAAATTGAAAGACATGTCCCCTCTGTCCTGACAAAAACAATGCAGAAAATATCAAATAAAAAGCTTACTTGGTTCATAATAATCATAGAACACAGCTGGAGCAGGCTGGAGAAGGCCAATTGGTACTCTCTGTATAGCATCAAAACTAATGCATTCCTCTCTTTCAAAGAGCTAGGGTGAGAGAGGAAATATTTAGTACTTTTACTACTGTAAGTTAATTTTTTTGTAAAAGTAAATAGATTTCAGTCTTACCTCATTAAAGTAGAGCAGCACTCTTCCATAGGAGGCTTCATAATGGGCAATGTATTGTTCCGGTTGCTGTTTAAGCTACGAGGAGACAAGCATTGAACTTTTTGATAATATAGCAGAAGAAAAGACAGTTCTTAAGACCCTTCCTCTAATTTATTGCTTTGTCAAAAAAGTGTTGATATAATGGAATACAGCTGCAAATTGGGCTGCTGGTTCTGGAAATGTTTTTCTCCAATCTGAATTTCCAGTTTGAATTATTCTTTTTGATTTCCTCATTGTTAGTCAAAATAGAAACACAGAAATCTTTTGCACTGATTCAACTGACAGAGATCCATGTCCATCTAAGCTCCAAATGTCAATAACGTAATTTTGTCAACTGAGAAAATTATCGGGACCAACGTCAGAATTAGCTCCTCAAACTTTGCACTGTGCATGAAAATGATAAAGAGGAGGCAACTAACCTTGTCCAGGTCTGTAGTTAAAGCCTCAAATCCACTCAGAAGGGTGATGTCAGCAATGGCCATTCCTGTGAGCTTTCGGTTCTGGCTATGACTACAGACGGAAAAACAATGAAAAATACAGGCTGGGAAGAACAGGTGATCATGATTTGTAACTGTTTTGTGCAAAACTCGGCTCAGTGAATACTTGAAGGGTTCATTTGCAAAAAACAGATATCTCTGATTTATTTTTCTAAATCATGTTTTTTTTTTGTGCAATCAAGGGGATATCAATCAATTGTTGGTTTACTCATTCTAAAAATGGCTTTTATCTAGCGATGCCCAGATCAGCTCCTAATCATTATAGGCCAATATTCTGTAAAAAATATTCAACTGGGAGATCAAGATTAATGCTTTCTAGTCACAGATCACAACAACCGATTGATGACACAAAAAAATTGGGCTAATTCTCAGATGGCCTGAGCCATTTTCACGTATGAACTGCGGATAACGTCCAGAGAGTCCGGTTCAGTTTTCTGGCTGCCCTTTAACACATGTAGTAGACAACAGATGTCAATATCAGACATGTTTAAAAACTCTGGTTTTGTGATGGAGGCATCCCTTCTTTTATCTGTTTTTTTCAAATGAACTCTTTAAAAAGCAAATGATTTTGAATTGTATTAACTAACCTGACACAGATTCTGTAGGTGACAGTCTTGTCTGAATTTAAGTTGTTATCAAGATCTCTTCTGTTTCTGGTGCGGGCATCAAACCACTCAATCGCTGATCGTGGCACCCGTGTCTCTATATCCTCATTGTTGCCATAGTCATCATAGTATTCATAATTTTCTATGACCTTAGCTAGGGAGACAGAGGTTAATGAAACTGTGTTGCTTTTACCAGCAGTACATGTGTCTGTGATCTGTTATCAGTGAGAAAAGCTCACCAGTGTACTTCACTTTCCCCTCCACTGTGACGCTGATAGACACTTGGTTACAATCATTCTTGGGTTCCAGTAGATGGTAAGCCTTTAAAACCTGCCAAACAGATTAAGGATTTATTGTAAACGATGGCTCTCTTTGATCACATATACAGACATTGATCAGACTTACTTTTAGCTTGACATCGCCTTTTCCTGTCAATTGCACAACAATGTTGTTTCCTTTAAGTTTCTGGAAAAAAAGACAAGAAAAAAAAGCAATCTCAGAATGACGTTAAATATCTACGTGTGTACTAAAGTGTAATGCATATAATGTTCTATGATACCTTAAGGTCTGTTTCCACTCTGTCCTTCTTTTTCTCCAGTTCAAGCTTTACAATATCACTCTTTCCTGGGACTGAGAACTCTGCTATTAAATTTGCTTCAGGACTGACGGACCTCTTTAGCTCATACTCTGCAAGGGCTTCCAATGCCATGATGGTATCCTGCACATGGTAATAAAACATTGATAACAGGATTATACTGTATGATGTGGGACCACACAAGGGATACAGGTGCTTTGTTTTGGGTTCAAACAATTCTCAGTCTAGTGTCTCAATCACCTGGGACGATTTGAAGCCTCTAAAATAGTTTTCTTGGGTGGTTAACCAGCAGGCTGTTTTGTCTGCCCACATGGTATGCCTAAGTTCCACTGCAGTTAGGAGGGCATAGGCTGTCGTCTCTACTGTAATGCCATCTGCCGTCTTCTGATTCTGTGGGCTGGCATTAGTTGTCCAGAGATAACAACCATTCTCAGCTGATAATTAGGAAATAGACAATCATTAAAAATGAAAACAATTTAAAATAATAGCATTGTTGAAGTTAACATATTGACCAAAACAAATATGGTTGCTTTTAGGATTGGGCGATATGTGAATATATAAGATGATATAAATTGGTTATTGGTGAAATGTATGTCAAATTATTTAATCCATTATCAGTTTCTCTATTGATCATACTCAACTGACTATATTGACTATTTTGTGATGTACATGGATAACCCAAT